AAAAAAAAAAAAAAAAAAAAAAAAAATATATATATATATATATAAATCTGGACTGGAAACCTACCAGAATCTGTAGAAACTGCCTTCTGAGAGAGGTGAAGTTTAACACCCCATCCCTTAAACGTGGGCATGTAGTGACTTCTTTTCAACAGATTAAGTATGGAAAGTGGATAAAAGAGGAACTTGGCAACAGACAGGTCTGACAAATACCACCTCCACAAGGAAAGGTAAAGCAAGGTTGGCATCATCAGCGACAGGTCAGATTATAGCCTGTATCCTTTAAATGATGTGATGACAATGACTCCTTACCAGTTGGTCTTTCTCTCCCAAGTCCACAACGTCAATCTAATTATGAAAAAAGTTCAGACAGACCCACACTGAGGGACAGTCTGCAAAAGTTTGACCAGCATTCCTCAAAACTGACAAGGTCATCAACAACAAGAAAAGTCTTAGAAACGATCACAGTCTGGGGGAAGTTAGGGGTCCATGGCGGCTGAATATAAAGTGGATTTTGAAGGAGTTCCTGAAACAGAAAATCAACATAAGGTAAAAACTAAGGAAATAGAAATAAAATGTGAACTTTAGTTAATAACAGTAGTACAATATTGGTTGATTGGTTTTAAAAAATATACTGTACCAATATAATAGGGGAAACTGGGTGCAGGTCATATAGGATCTCTGACTTATCTTTGAAACCTTTCCATAAATCTAAAACTATTTATTCTAAGATAAAAATTTATTTAGACCATAAAGTAGAGGAAGAAATTGTCATGGACTATCGGTGGAAATGCAAAATGGTACAGCCACTTTGGGAAGCAGTCTGGAAGTTTCTTATAAACAAATATTTGCTTACCCTACAGCCTAGAAATTCTATTTCTTAGTATGTACTCAAGTAAAACAAAAACCTATGTCCACACCAAACGCGGCATACAAATAATTGCAATGATCTTATTCATAATTGCCAAAAAGTGCAAAGGACCCAAATATCCCTGAACTAGTGAATAGTTAGTGAATCATGAATCATGGTGCATCCATACAATGGTATATGATTCATCAATAAACAGGAACCGGCTACCAAGACATGCGGCCACATGGGTGAATCTCAAATGCTGTGCTCTAGGTGAAAAAGAAACAAAAGCCAGCCTCAAAAGCCTGCATGCTGTGTGAATCCACTTATAGGATATTTTGGAAAAGGTAAAACCAGAGAAACATAAAATATAACTAGAGAGCTTCCAGAGATCGGGGGAAGAGATAGACCCCAAAAGGACATGAAGGGAATATCGAGAAATGATGAAATTATTCTCTGTCTTGACTGCGGTTGTGGTTATGTATGTTTATCAAAACTCACAGAACCACACGCTAATACAGGTGAATTTTACTATGTGTAAATTATATATTAATTAAAAATGAAAAAAACCCCTCAGGGTTGAGTGCCACTTTTCAAAGTTACTCTCCAGGGGGTTTGTTTAAATAGAATTCCCACTTATTTCCTGTTCAGTGATTTCATCCCCAAACGTTCTGTTTGCCATAAGGGGCACTTGTGTGGTTTCATCACTGTGCTACCTGCTGTTTAGAGACTCAGAAGTGAGAGCCATGGTCGAGGGACAGGAACAGAGCAGAGACAAAGAAACAGGTGCAAAGGACAGCCAGGCTCATGTGTTAACAATGATGACATTAGCTAAGTACTTTTTAATCACCTGCTTTTGATATAATCATGAAGCTGATTAGACATTACTTTTGTAGGACACCTTGCTTTTACAAAGCTCGTATATGCACTCGTAGGATCCACACAATAGTTCACACCCCTGCACTCCAGCCTGGGCGACAGAGTGAAACACTGTTAGAATAGAATAGAACAGAACAGAACAGAACAGAACAGAACAGAACAGAACAGAATAGAATGGAGGTACTAAGAGTTTTCACTTATCTCTGCTTGCCTGCACTTTCTTGGCCCTCTCCATAGGTTGGCTAACTTAAAACCCATGGTAATTTGGTGTGATAAATATAACTATTTTACAGTGAAGGAATACAATGATTTTACAGATAAGGAAGCTGAAGTTCTGGGAATTTCCCAAGGTCACTTGCCTAATAAGTATTAGAGCCAAGAGTTCGGAACTCAGATGCTCTGGTTGCAATTCAACTTCTCTTTCTACTCTCTTATGCTGGTTTATGTGTCTTTTCTGCAAAGCATATTTGAGTTGATGGTATTTTGCCACAGATCTTCGCATCTTTAAGGCAGCTTGAGTGGAGAGTTTTGGTTGACTTCCATTATTAGAGCTAGATTATTGTAAGTAAAGATTACTTGACTCGCCGTCATCTTTCCTAATAATTTTGGGAGCTTGGAAGACAGGGTATAATCTTGGTATTTCTCTCGGCTTCTTGTGCTTGGAGAGTGTCTGAATGTATGAGAACTGTGTGTATGTTGGACGTTCTGAGTTCCAGAACAAAGAGCTCATCAATGTAAAATGAGAAGGGGTGATTTTTCAATAAGCACAAGAACATCCTCATCAAATGAGTGTTTGCTTTGAGAGAACATTCAATTCAACTGATTTTGAGCTGTCTCATTTTTATGCAAAGTAGTAATGCCACCTTCCTAATCAGGCTTCGCTCTGAAACCCTCTTCCCTCTTTCCTTCATGGTCTCTGAGCTCCTGATGGGCACAGCTCCTCACTGTGTTCTCAGTGTCTAGCACAGAGAGGCTGGCCTGTCGAAGCTGCTCAAATCATATTTGTGGAGTGGACCGAGACTCAGCCATCAAAACCTTGGCCATAATTAAGGAGGCCTCAGGAAGATCCCCTTCACCCTCTTCACCCCCTGCCCAAGTTCTTGCCAGGATCCACGTTGAGACTCACAAGCCAACAATCCATCTTTCGTTTTTCTTGTCAGCATGTTAAAGAAAAACCCTTAAAGATACCCTAAAGGAAAACGCTAGCATGTGAGTGAAACTGTGAATTAACACTGAAGAAAAAATGAACGAAATTCTACACTCTCTTGACGTTTGGCCTAATTTGGAAGAATGTGAACGAGTCTTATTCTATCCCCTTAGAAATAGATCCTGTCTATTCAGAAGGGTCGTGGCCTGTCATAACCTTGTTCTCATTGTGTGATAGACTGTCTTGGACTAGAAGTCTAGAAACCCGGTTCTATCTCTGAGTCTATGCAAACCTGAGCATATCGCTTGTTTCCACCATCTGTAAGCGAAAGTGCTAACTCCTAAATGACCTCAGTCACGACACTCATTTCTGCCCCCAGGTACTGAGCCAGCAGGTACTGAGCCGACCCCATGGTCAGTTCCAGACATGCAGCAAGAATCGTTTCTTTCCTCAGATACCCACAGGCTCACTCCCAAGATAACCCTCACTCCCAGACTGTCATGAGATTCTGAAACCTTTTACTGTGTGGGTGTAATCTCTGTGCCATTGGTCTGGGAGCCCCCAGAAAGTTATACTGGCCTTCTTCGGTCCCCACCCTGGGCCCAGCACCAAAGTCAACAGGCAGTGCGTGCACAAGGGATTTAGAAAGAAGTCTTTTTCGTCTAGGAAGGTCCTTAGCTCACAGTACACGCTTTCAAAGGCTAGATGGCACTGTTGCTAGAGCCAAATCAGGTGTGTTTGGAAATGTCAGCAGTAAAGGAGGGAAGAGGAGATGGAGCAGGGACCCCGGAGCACTCATATGCCGGGCTTGAATCAAACCCATTGCAGAAGTGCGGGTGGGTGTCCCTTTTGATGACACAGTGAGCTCTTCCATTTCCTTGGCATCGTCACCGACGTGGCTTCTGATGGTCTTTCCAACAACCTTGTGTACAGGTGGGACAGCCGTTTCCGTTCTGCTTTTATAGAACTGGAGCTCAGAGAAATTAAGTGCCTGGACTAAGATTACACAGCGGTTGATCAGCAGAGATTTTTACTGTTAGTCCCTCTTGGCTGCCCCCTATCAAACGAGGGCCCTCAAGGAATAGTGAAGGAGGGATGTGATCAGTGATGCCATTGTCCCAGGAGAGTGGCCTGGGCGAACTGGCCCCAGTTGGAGGGGAAAAGGTTGGGTCCTCAGCCAAAGTAATTGAATGTATCAGCTTAACCCGTGCCTCGAAATGTCTGAATCCATGACAAAGGGGAAATACATCATTTTGGAGGAAAAAAATGATTCCCATACCGGCTCTTTGAAGATCAAAACTGTGGGTCATTTGTACAATTATTAGGATGTAAGATCAATGGTTGAAAAGATGATCTGCTGGACTCGGTGGCTCCGCCTGTCATCCCGCGCTTTGGGAGGCCGAGGTGAGTGGACGGCCTGAGCCTGCGGGTTCGAGACCCGCCTGGGCAACTGGGCGAGACCTCGCCTCTACAATAAATCAAAAACTAGCCGGGCGTGGTAGCGCACGCCCGTAGCTCCAGCTCCTTGGAAGGCTGAGGGGGAAGGATCGCCGGAGCCCAGCGGGTCGAGGCTGCGGGGGCCGGGCGCGGCCCCTGCACTCCAGTCTGGGCAACTGAGTGAGACTCCAATTAAAAAAGAAAGAAAGAAAGAAGGGATGATCTATTTTTGGGATGCTGCATCGTGGGTTATAGCTTGTCATAGCTTGACCATTTTCCACATGTTTCCCATGAAAACAAGACAAGCAGACAACATCGTCCCGTGCGGTGGGCACGGCCGTCTGTGCCTGTTTTGCAGATGAAGAAATAGAAGGTCAGAATGGTTAAGAGTCCTATCCAGGACCCTACAGCTGATAAGTGGCTGACCTAGAACTTCAGTGTGTCTGAAATCACGTCTTGTCCCCTTCTCGCTGTGGTTTTCCGGGGCGGCGTCGGCTCATCCAGAAATCACACAATTAGAAGGCCCGTTGTTGATACGGAGGGTGACGCAGCAGGGGCTAGAAAAGGCGCTCTACAGGGTGACGCCTAATTCACGGCATGCAAATTGATGCCAACCGAGCGTCAAGTCCTAGCGGTTGTTGGCGCCTTCTGGTGACCTCTGCTCTCGTTTCCCCCCAGGATGGCGAAGACAAGCTCACCTGGAAAGATCGCTTCCCCGGCTACCTGATGAGCTTGGCCTCCATCTTGTTCATGGTAATTTCCTCGCGGGACTGCCTGTCGCGACGGTCTGCACGCAGGGGCTATTGTGTGCGTGCCGCGGGTATTTCGTTCTGGCCCCCATGGAAATGGCGAGGGGCTGGTCAAGACAACGCCGCAGTCCTGTCCGGAGGGGTTGGTCTGAGGCTGCCGACACACATGTTGAGAGAGGAAGGTGCCTTCTGTGTGGAGGCAGAACAGGAACTTGGAGAAGAAATCAGGGGAGATGGCTGCAGAATTACGGCAGCCTGTTTGGGCTGTGGAGTGGGCCCCTCTGATGGTCTGTGGAATCGAAGAGTCTGGAAGCCACAGGAGAGAGCTGCTGGGGCCCCCGAATCCGATTCTTTCTCGTCCTTCTGGCTGCGGTGTTTATTTCCACGAATTCGAGCTCAGAGTTTGGTAGACCTTGCTGTGAGACCCAGATGGTCTCAGCTGTGTCTGGGAAAGCCGGGGGGAAGTCCCTGTGTGTTCATCTTTGAGTCAGATTGAGAAAGTGGTAGCAGGTCCTTGTTGGGAGCCAGATGGGCCAGACAACAGTAGCTGAAGGAAAACTTTGGGAAGGGAAACATCAGAGGACTGAGTTAGGGTCATGAGCACGTCTGTCTCTCTTTACGGGAAGACTCCTTGTAGTATTCAAGATTGGAGATTCCGCTTCACAGAAGAGAGTGAAGAGAGAGCTCAGAGAATTTCTGAGTAGTACTACACATTACTGGCAGGGTGGAAGAAGGACTACTTATTTCAAAAATGTGTACTGAGGTCACCATGATTTTCTGGATGTGTGGCCAGAGGTAACTTGGACACTGGCCTGAGGCTGCTATTGCCATAACTATTGCCTTGTGGCCACTGAGGACAGAAACCATGTCCTCATCTCAGAAATTTTAAAGTTGAAGGAAACTTAGGCGCCATCTAGTCTAACTCCTCATTTTCCAGATTAAGTGCAGAGTTGATGGGCGCCTTTCCAAAGCCTAGAAGCCTAAATTTGCATTCTTTTTACTACTTAACAAGTGCAAAGCATGTAGAATTTATCCAAGAATATGTGGTGAGTCTCAGTGTGTTACACTGTAATGATATGAAGCTTAATTTAGCACTTTAAAGCCTCCCACAAGATGGATATTATTGTCTGAGAGTTCATTCATTCATTCAAGAAATACTTAATGAGTGAAACAGTGTGCTTGACACTGTTCTTAGGTGCTAGGAATATAGCAGAAAACAAAACAAAATAATTTCCTTTCTTAACAAATTTACAAGCAGCCAATGAGTACATCCGTAAGAAAATAAATAGGTTAAATAGACTTCTATCTCCAGTGGTAGTAGGTTAGGATATTTGTAACATCCCATTTTTCTGAAATTTAAATATTTAGGTTTAAATAAATATATTTTTCAGTCTTCTCCATGCCTCAAAAAGCTGACAGAACAGTAAGCAATACTAGGCTTAAATCTACAGGAAAATGGGAACCAATGAAGAAGATACCTGGGCACTAGTGCTGTTTTTACCTTGAGGATATTTTCCCATCGAGGCAAACTTAGGCACTGGAGCAAGGAGGATAGAAATCAGGGAGTATGTGCTGGCTCAACGTAGGGTTTCTAGTAGAAAGTATTCATCAAATTAAATTGGAAATCCAAAGGGCTATATTATCAGAGTAAAGTTGAAACAGCACTAAAGCTACCCCTAGCCACTAATGGGATTTACAGAGAAAACTGTTTTGCTTCTAAGCAGAAAAGGAAGAAACAAAGACAAAAGCAAAATCTCGTCCCTAAAAATGGCCATGGGCAATCCCCACTGTGGGCTTTTAGCCTGTGTCAGGCACATGAGACTACCAAGGAACTTCAGGTTGTGACGTTAACCCAGGACTAGTAGATCTCCCAGATGCTTGGAAGAAGCCAATGCACACTATTTCTTAAGGAAAGTATATTTCTGCCAGTTCTTAAAAGAATCCTCCAAAATAAATTTTCAAGGGCAATGTGGAGAACGTAGTCAAAACAATCAATTACACAAGAAGTTAAAGCACTGTGTGAAAGAACCAGTGGAAATAGACAAGAAAAAAATAAAGATGTTGAGAATGTCAGTCACATGCGAAAACATCAAACTTAAAAATATTTAAAAGGTATAAAAACCTATTTTTAAAATTACCTAAAATATGTGTAAACTAACCAATACATCCTTTAGAAATGAACACACACACACACATGCAGAGAAACACATACATACACACTCACACACCATGTATAAGTTTCACAACAAATTAGAACAGGTGAAGAGAGAATTTGTGAACTACAATACAGGCTAGAAGAAATTACCTGTAACGCAGCATAGAAAGACAAAAGTTGGACAATATATAAGAGAGGTTAAAAGAAATGGAAATAGAGTGAGATTTAACATATGTTTAATTGCTCTAGTGGAAAGACAGGAAAGAAACCAGGTAATGAATGAGATATAAAGACTGGTGGTTTCCTAATCCACCTCAGAACATCCATTTACAGTTTGAAGAATCCCAATGAAACAGTAAAAAGAAATCGACATCAAGATTAATCACACTGGAATCATGAAATATATAATACATAATACAAAATCTTAAAAGCAGCCAGAAATAGTAAGACAAATTACCTTCAATAGAGAGACATTTAGACTGACCATGGGTTTCTTATAACATATTGGAAGTCAGAATATGGTTAAACATTATTTTGAAAACAAAACAATTTCTAATCCAGAATGACATACCCAAGAACAATATCATATAGGAATTAGGATAAAATAAAGCTATTTATGGACAAACAAAAACTGAGTTTGTTATTACAATCTCTCACTACAGAAAATTCTACGAATGTACTTCAGACATTATCTCATATGAAAGACGATAGTAGAACGGAATCAAGAGTTATTGAAATGGCAAATACGTGGGAAAACCTATATGTGTTTTGGCTGTGAGAATAATAATGCTAATGTCTCATGAGGATAAAAAGATAAATTGATACATACACAATAATATATAAGGTGCGTGGGCAATAAATGAAATAGTAATGTTCTAAATTTTGTTTTTTGTGTTTTTTTTGAGTTGGAGTCTCACTCTGTCGCCCAGACTGGAGTGCAGTGGCATGCTTCCGGGCACCACAGCCTCGCCCTGCTGGGCTCCGGTGATCCTTCCTCCTCAGCCTTCCAAGTAGCTGGAACTACCACGCCCGGCTAGTTTTTGATTTATTGTAGAGACGAAGTCTCCCCAAGTTGCCTGGGCTGGTCTTGAACCCGCGGGCTCAGGCAATCCACTCACCTCGGCCTCCCAAAGTGCTGGGATTACAGGCTGAGCCACCAAACCCGGCCCTAAATTTTATATTGTCCATTTGATAAGCTGATTTAAAAATGTTTATGGAAGCACAAAGTCTTCAAGACACTCTTGAAGGAAGGATATATTGCTCTATCAGATATGAACTCATTGTAAAATTTAATAGGCAACATAATGTGTGGTATTAGTTGGAAAAAGTTAGTTAGACTAATGGGACAAAATAGAAAACCAAGAATCAGGATGCAGGTGGCATTGCATAGAAGTGGGAAAAAGGATGACATTCTCAATAAATGCTTCTGAGACAGATGGGTGTTCCTACAGAAGAAAATAAAACTAGACCTTACACCATTCACAAACATCAATTCCAGGTGTATTTTAAAGATAAATTATAAAAGATAAAGCAATAAAGCTTTTAAATATGTGGGAAGACATATTTTCATGACCTTGCAGTAGGGAATAATTTTTTAAACAAGATACAAAAGAAATTACAGCCATAATACAATACAGCCATAATAAAATGTTGGTAAATTTGACCATACTAAAATTAAGAATTTAAGTTAATAAAAAGACCTGATAAAGACTGTGAGAAGGCAAATCATTGCAGTGGGAGAATGTCCTTGCAATAACTGTAACTCACAAAGAATTGTTCTCAACACATATAAAGAATTAAAAAACAATGGAAGAAGTCGGGAAACTCAATACAAAAGGGAAAAATGACTTGAATAGGTCTTGAATAGATACCTCACAAAAGAGGAAATCCAACTTGCCAATAAACCCCTAAAAGAGTATCCAATCTCATTAGCAATCCTGGAAATTCTAATTTATACCACAATAAAATACTATATACACCCAATAGATAGTCTATAATTTAAAAATTTGCTAGCCAGGCACGATGGTGTGCACCTGTACTTCCAGCTACTTGGAAGGGTGAGGCAGAAGGATTGCCTGAGCCCAGCAGGTGGAGGCTACCGGGGCCATCAGTGTGCCACTGCATTCCATCCAGGGTGACAAAGTGAGACTTTGACTTGAAAAAAAATTGTTAATAATGAGGGTTGAGAAAGACATAGATAAAAAGAAACTCCTATGCACTGGTGGTAAGAGTGTAAATTGGAGGGGAAAAAACACACTCTGGACAAAGTTTGGTATTATCTTGTAAGACATATCCCGGGTCACAGAAATTCCACATCTGAGTACATGCCCTAGTGAAACGTGTATGCATGAACATCAAAATACACGTATAAGCATGCCCGTGGAAGGAGTGTTTATAATAACCCAAGCTGGAAACAACCCAAAAGCTTATTGTCACTAGGTAGAAAAAGAAATGGACACATATTTATACAGTTAAAATACTACATAGTTATGAAAATGAGCAAAATAATAGCTGTGTACCACCATACAAAAGAATATATACAGTTGGAGTTTACTAACAGAGTTCAGAAAAAGACAACACGAAACTATAATATTTTAGGATGCATACCGAGTGATCAAACTATAAAGATAAGCAAGGGAATGTGTGTCACAAAATTCAGCACAGTGATTTGATCCAAAGAAGGAGCGGGGATGGCATATCACGTGCACACACACCTGTACATGCTGGGGAGAAGGGCATTCAGGGCTGCTGGCGGTGCTGGTCTGGGCTATGCTGGTGTTTGCTTTATTCACTAAACTGTGCCTGCATGTGTGTGTATGAAATGGATGTTTCTTACATTCGCAATAAAA